AAGGCTGTCTTCCTTCTGAAGGACAGGATGAGGGCAATCCCCGTTAGTTATGGAGTTCAGAAAGAAGTGCAGGGGTGTGGGGAGCAGTGCTTATTGTGAAAGGGGTCCATGAATGATTTCTTTCCCTTCTCATTAGGTAGGGATGGGGAGGAGTAGAGAAGGGGCCAGAAACAGAAAGGGGGCCTGCTGTGTGTGGCTTGGAAGGGGGGAGCTGTGGGGGCCCTGATAGTGACAGGCGAGGTATAAATAGCTTGGGCCTGCGGCTCAGGCTCATGTTCTGTCGGCTGCCTGTGACGAGGTGCTCAGGAATTCCGCTCTCCTATTGGCACCCCCTCCCTATCCCAGCACTGTCATACCCCATACCACCTTTGTCCCATGGCCAAACCAGCCACCAAGCATCAGGGCTGTCTGTCTGCTTGAGAGACTGAGCTCTCCTGTGGAGAGATGCCCAGCTCTGGGGACACATGACACAGAGCTAGGTCTCACAGGGGACTGAGTGTGTGTGTGTGTGTGTGTGTGTTTGTGTGTGTGTGTGTGTAAAGGCAGACTTCTGACACCCCACCGAGGTGCCAGCTGAGGGCTCAGTGATGTCTCTGAAGCCTTGATGAAGAAACTGGGGAACAGATCTGAGAAAGGATGGGTGCCTCTCTCTGAGCTGCTGGGAGGAGGGAATGGGGAAAGTGGGTTTGCTTGGAGCCAACAGCCCCTGTACACATCCTAGTGGCTCATGGACCTGTTTTGTGGGCGTTACCTGAGGTCCCTCAGTCAGTTGAGGGCCGCTTTTAGGGTGGCATGTTCAGAGGGAAGCCGCCGAGTGGAGAAAGAAGTCCCTCTCCTGCTTCTCACTCCCTCCCTCCTAGAGAGGTCCTTGTGAGACCCCAGAGGAGTAAGTGGTCCAACAGAGCAAGGTGCCTAGTGCCAAGGATGGTTCCCGGAACCCTCCTTACCCCCCTGAAACCTGAGCCTGTTGCTCTCCAGGATAAATCGGGGCCTGACTCAGGCCCCAGCCAGCCAGTCACTGCAGCCTGACCCAGGGGCAGGCTGGTGACTCAGCCCTCAATATAGCCCATGAGCCCAGGCCCCAGGCCCGGCCATGAGGCTGGAACAGACCGTGCACAATGCTGGTCCTGGGGCCTGCCAAGTGGAGTGGCCTCCTGAGGGCCAATGTGTTCCTCCCTGAGCCAGGCGGGGGCTCATCGAGGGGCTTACAGGGGGTTTCATCAGCTGAGTATGTGGGGCAGTGGTGGCTGGGGCCACAGGCCGTTTATAGCCCCCTGACTCACCACCTGCTGACCTGTCTCTGGGGAACAGGTTGCCTGGCTTTCCACCTGGCCCCAGTTCTCCCATCAAGGGACACTGCTCCTCCGCCACTGACAGTGGCCATGTTTAACTTGGTCCATGCAGAGTCTGCATGAGCAGGCCCAATGGGCCATGTTTTTCTGGAGCCAGAGACATGTTCACTGTCACCTGTGAAAGAGCAGGCTGGCCAGGCTCACAGCAGGCCCTTTGATCAGTCAGTGATACTGATTGTGGCCCTGACTCAGGTGCCAGGGACAGTGTGGTATGATGGAAAGATCGATAGACTCTGTAACCTTGGGCAGGTGATGTCACTCTTTTGGGCCTCAGTTTTCTCATATCTAAAATGGAGTTAATAGCCCAGCCAGCATGGCTCAGTGGTTGAACGTTGACCTATGAGGCAGGAGGTCATGATTCGATTCCCTGTCAGGGCCCATGCCCGGGTTGCAGACTTGATCCCCAGTGTGGGGTCGTATAGGAGGCAACTGATCCATGATTCTCTCTCATCACTGATGCTTCTATCTCTCTCTCCCTTCCTTTATGAAATCAATAAAAATATTTAAAAATAAATAAAATGGAGTTAATAGTGGTCTCATAGGGATTTTTTATGTGTGAAGATGAAAGGAGGGAACGTAAAATGATGAGCATGGTGCCTGGCAGCTAATAGGTGATTAGAAAATAAGTTAGTTTGCTTCCTGTGCTGGTATCTTGGAAAGCCTATGGGTTCTGGGGAGCTAGGTCTTCCTCCCAGCTCTGTCTCTATCCCCGGTAGAGTCCACAGCCAGGATCTCCACCATGCTTCCTTCTTCCCTTCTCTACATCCTAACACTCCACCTGCCAGCATCAGAATCAGAGTACTTCTGATCTTTAGAACCACCCACCCTGCCCCCCAATAGCTGCTGATCCTTGACAGGAGTAGTAGGTGGTATACTGTACCACGTGACCCGTGACCCGGGAAGGGAAAACAGAGGGGGCTGTTGTGCAGGGAGAGAGCAGAAAGGAAGCAGCTACGCAGAGGGCTGATGAGTGGGGAATTGGAGGTCCTTGAAGGTGGTATGAAAGGAGTCCTCGGTTCTATCTGTACCTCAGCCTGGGTGCATGTTCCCCTGGCTTCTAAGAGACGCCCTGTAGACTCAAAGCTAGTTCAAGTGATGAATACATTCAACACAGAGACCTCTTCACTCTGGTGAAGTGTATTAACAAGACCAGGAGTCAGAGCTCAAAAGGATGAAAAGAATGGCTTTCTAAAATGAGCCAATGGGCCCTAACCGGTTTGGCTCAGTGGATAGAGTGTCGGCCTGAGGACTGAAAGGTCCCAGGTTCGATTCCGGTCAAGGGCATATACCTTGGTTTCGGGCACATCCCCATCGATTCTATCTCTCTATCCCTCTCCCTTCCTCTCTGTAAAAAATCAATAAAATATATATTAAAAATAAAAAAATAAAATGAGCCAATGGGCCCAACTGTTGTGGCTCAATGGTTGAGTATTGACCTATGAACCAGGATGTCACAGTTCGATTTCCTGTCAGGGCACATGCTCGATCCCCATGGGGGGCATGCAGGAGGCAGCCAATCAATTATTCTCTATCATCATTGTTTCTATTCCTCTCTCCCTCTCCCTCTCTGAAATCAATAAAAATACATTTAAAAATAAAATGAGTTAGGCTGGCGCGCTCAGTGGTTGAGCACCTACCTGGGAACCAGGAAGTCAAGGTTCCATTCCCAGTCAGGGCACATGCCTGGGTTGCAGGCTTGATCCCCAGTGGGAGACATGCAGGAGGCAGCCAATCAATGATTCTCTCTCATCATTGATGTTTCTCTCTCTCCCTCTCCCTTCCTCTCTGAAATCAATAAAAATTATTTTTAAAAAAATGAGCCAACGGGGCAAGTGTCCTAATGGAAGAGCTCTGAATTCTAAGCAAAAAGGCTGGGGAAAAGCAGGGTCATTTTCCTGTCATTGCTCAGTCTTGGATTCGGGCCTGGGAAGGGCCAATAAAGTCCTGACTGGGGCCAATTGCCTACCAGATCATGACCTCCATCTTGACTTCTGATTAATTCCAAGGTAAATCAGTGATCCACGGTGGTAGGTAACCTTTAGTCCTTTCCACCATATATATTCTCCAGCCAACTGGTGACTAGAATAAAGTCAATAAACAGCAGGGTTTCACTGCACTAAACAACCAGGAGCCAGGGACCAATGGCAACAGTGAGTTATGAAGGAATTTCAATTAGGTTACAACTGAGGACACACAGTCTAATACAACGGAGGGCAGTGCTTCTTAAATTTTATTGTGCCTACTAATCAATTGGGGGTCTTGTTTAAATGCAGGTTCTATGTTGCATGTCTGAGGGGCCTGAGATGCTGCCTTTCCAACAAGCTTAAATGCTGATCTGTGGGCCACACTTTGAGTAGCTAGAAGCTAGGCCACCCTAAATCAGTGCTATCTTTAAAGAGTCATTTAGAGGGAGGCAAAAGGGACGTGTGGCACCGCCGTCAATCTGCCTAGGTGCGGCTCCGTTTATAGGGGCTGGTCTTGTTTTCAGCACTGGCCTCGGGGCTGCTGGGATGGATTCCCACCCAGTTCAGCCTTGTCATTCTCTGGGCTGCACACAATTTTAAAATCAAATTCTAAGTGGCCTTACTGCTGAATTCATTTAGTGCTTAGCAGTGTCTACCACCAGACATGCTCTATAGGTTGCTTTGGATATTTGGGTGAATGACTCTTCTGGCATCAGGTGAAAAGGAAGTAGAGAGGGGTCTCAGGAAACCAGTAGTCATGGGGGTCTTATGAATACACTTGAGGGTTTTCATATGGAAACTTCATGATGAGAACAACCAATCAAAGCATTCCACGGGGATGAATGTTAAACAAGGACACTCATAAATTATCCTCACATTCTGCTTGTCTCCACTCAGACCCATTCGCCATCCTTTGCTCTGCTCTGAACTCCAGGAGGCTGACCTTGAAAGATGACATCACATGGGACACCTCTGCTCTCTGGCTCCTAGTAGGGCTCAGCCAATGAGAGGTACCAACAGGAGCCTGGGGGTGGGAAGAAGGCGGGGATACACAAACTCCCCCTTTTATTTGTGGCTCTGACATGGACCACATCCCCGTGGCCTCCACGTGTGTCTGGGCCCCTTTTCAGGCCTGGGATGGTAGCCACTTTCCACTGTTGCTGGTGCCTGGGGACTTCACTACTCCTTATTAGTTCTTCAACTCTGCCTTCTGGACGTTGTCCCTTCATTAAACTTTTCAGTAAAGCTTTTGTGTGTGTGGCCTGTTTACTGCCAGGCCCTGAGGGGTTAATAAAGTTTTCTCTAAGAGCAAACCCCTTGAGAAGTCATAGGACTAAGCGAGGAAAGCTCACACGCAGATCTTCTCAGGGCATTCTTTTCGAATAGCTAGGTGTGGGCACAGAACCTAAGGGCAGGTCACCGGGCCCCCCTCACACAAAGTACCCAGTTCACTCCATTTCTCTATGCTCAGATGAGCTCCGTGAGAGAGTGTTGATATGTACAGACCAATCCATCTGTGATTTGGTTGGCAGCACAGGAGCCAGCTTCATTTCTGAGGTCATTTCTAGGGTGAGAAATCATATTTAGGAGTCAGACCCTTATGTGAGGTGCCTGGTTTAAGGGAAACAGCTCTGTTCTGGTTGTGTTGTGAGGTATTTAACAAATCAGAAGCCACACAGTCTCATGTAGTTAGGTTGACATTTAATTACAAGGAACCCAGGATCTTACACAAGGCAGGAGATGGGTGCCAGCAGCCTTTTCAGCCTGAGTGACTGAGGCTAAAAAGATGGGGACACTGGGACATGTGGATGGGTGGGGCTCCGGCACAGTGTGTCCTGCCCAAAGCCGAGGGTAGTAGCCATTGGGGATCTGCCCCCAGGGCTGGCCCAGGTCAGGTCTGCCATCACTCCAAGAGGCAGAACTCTGCCTCCTGCCGTCGCAGGTTGGGTAACACATACAGAGCCACAGCTGCAAGAGCCAAGAACACCATAGGCTTCCACATCCCAAACATGTTCTGTGGGGACCAAAGACAAATGGTGAGTGCCCAGCCCGCTGAACCCTTCCCTAAGCCAGACAGCCCCTGCCTACCGGTGCTGGAGACACCTCAGGACCACCATGGCCCACTCCCCCTTACCTCCTGGATAACTGCTGGAGACAATGTGGTCTGAGTCCTGGCACCACTAGACACCTGAACGACCCTATGTGTCCCACCTAAGGTGACTGCTTGTTTGCACGCCCCATAGGGTGAGAATCCCAGTTCCTGTGTGTAGGAGCAAGTTCAGGAGCCAGACTTTAGAGTATCCAAATGGTTGTAATGAGGGAGGTTGGCTACCATGGCAAAAATATGCGGGTAAATGTGGGCCTTTAAGAAAAGCAGCTGCACCTCATTAGTTCCTGGAGAATGAACTCAGAGTCAAGAGGATATGAAGACTGAGAGGAAATGAAGAAAGAACACCATGGAGTGTGGGCAAATATGAGGTCCTAGGCAGCCAAAAACCTTTGTGGAGAATGATGGTGGCTCAAGGAAATTCAAGGAAGCCGGCCACTGGCTCTGGGAGGCTGCCAGACCCTGCTGACCACAGCAAATCCTGCTGATCCATTTAGGGAACATGACATCCTGAATAAGAAAATACATACCCGGGGAAGTAGTTCCTAATTTTATTACTTTTTTACTGTATTACTTGAAAGACAGAATTTGAGTTTTAAGTCGTAAGCTATGGCATAACAGAAATACAGTTTTAGGGAAGGGCAAATATAGCCCATCAATGCTAAGAATGCATTTGCTCAGAGAATAACGAACCTAAAAAGAGGATTTTAAGCCAACTATAAAGAGCAAAGAAAACCTCCTACTGGTATACTTGTAAAAACAGCTACTAAAAAGAACATAAGATGTGAAGTGAGAAGCAAAACAATGTTGGAGGTGGGTATACAGAGTAATTCATAAAGGGAGCTAGGAAAAATACTGACATGCTCAGATGCTTGCATCCTAATGTGCACTGCTAAAAATGCCAGTCTGGGGTTTTTAAGGGTGCAAAGTGCTGAACCCATGCATGGGAACTGGCGTCCTTTATACCAGGTGCAGGCAAGATTCCAGGCTGGCTGAGTAAAGGGCTGGTTCGAGTATCACAAAGGGGTAAGTCATGTCAGGCTTTCCTTTCAGACTGGGTCACTAAATTCACAGATCCACAGATGAATCGTACCCCTGACGCCTGTGTAATTTTATTAGCCAATGTCACCCCAATAAGTTCAAGTTAAAAAATAAAAATAAATCCACAGATCAAGAAAATCATGTTCTGGACTTAATCAAGGTGTTTGACAAGGTTTTCCATGATATCTTTGGAGAGAACATGAAGGAAGTGAGTAGGATGACAGCACGGCTTGTTGTGTGACCATTTGTTATGTGACCAATGAGCTGGATAAAAGCCTGGTGAGATGACATTCGAGAGGCTCAGCCCTCACCTGTGACGTGGATGAGAATATGAGGGAGGGCTTGTCACCCCTGAGGATGACAAGCTGGTAGGGAAAGGAAATATTTTGAAAACAGAGTTGAGATTAGAAAAAAAAAAAAAAACTCCACAGGTTAGATCAGTGGATTATCTCTAATAGGGATAAATGAAAATTTCTGTCTTGGAAAAAAAAAAAAACTCCACAGGTTAGATCAGTGGTTTATCTCTAATAGGGATAAATGAAAATTTCTGTCTTGAATCCACAAAACCAACTGCAGGTAGAGAATGGGGGGGGGGGTCACTTAGCATATGCAACATGCAAAGGGGTTTTATAATACATGAAGTAGATTAACAATGTGATCGGAGGCTGCATAAAGAGAAGTATGGTATCTTCCTAATTACCTGGAAGCAACCAAGGAAAATGGCTCAAAATGAGGAGATAAGGGAAATCAGGATTGGAATTTTATCTGTTGCTAATGTTAAGTCCTTAGAATCTGATTCACAATTTCCTGGCTCTATAACTACGCCTCTCTGTGTCTTAGTTTTATCACATACCAAATTAATAATAGGGTTGTTGTAAGATTTAAATGAGTAACTATAGATACAGTGATTAGGACAGCCGTGGCACGTAGTATGCATTATATAAGTGTATGTTCTTTTTATTTATGTGGTGTTTTATCATGGTGAAGTACTTTTACATATATGAACTCATCTGACCCTCAGTGGGGAAGGCAGAGGTTTTATCATCCATCTTTTGCTTACATTTGAAGAAACGAACATTCAGATTATGCATTTTGCTCCCTGGAACCAAGCTGCAAGAAGCACAGACAGACGCAACCAAGCTCTCTGACCACTTTGTCAGGCAGGTTGTACCTACGCTACCTCGATTCCTGGTTGGGGAGCTGCATATTTGGTGCAGCAGGCTCTGGGCACAACAAGCTCCCCTGAGAGGACCCTAAACCAGGAGTTCCTTCCTCTCACTCTGCGTGAACCAGGCTGAGTTTGAGCTGGAGAAAGGTTATAGCTGAATGCTCTGGGCCTCATCCCAGGGACTTAGAAATCGAGGCATATATAGGGGAAGAACGGGTACAGGGAGAGACTTGTCACTAAAGGAGTTGAAGACTGTCTATGGGGTGTAAGTGCAATGCCTAAAAGGAGAAGAGCTGCCCTAACCGGTTTGGCTCAGTGGATAGAGCGTCGGCCTGTGGACTCAAGGGTCCCAGGTTCAATTCCGGTCAAGGGCATGTACCTTGGTTGCGGGCACATACCCATTAGGGGGTGTGCAGGAGGCAGCTGATCGATGTTTCTCTCTCATCAATGTTTCTAACTCTCTATCCCTCTCCCTTCCTCTCTGTAAAAAATCAATAAAATATATAAAAAAAATAAAAATAAAAAAATAAAAGGAGAAGAGCTGAAGAGGGGGAAGAATGAGGGGGTGGGGAGGGAAGAGAAAAGAGGAAATGGTGATAAAAGCTACCAGCAAATGCTTCAGCTGCCACTCTGAACCTATGCATTAAGCCAACTACACTCCACTAACTGAGAAGTGAGAAGGAGGGTGAGAGAGGGCAGGGGGAGCATAAGAAAGGAGCTAAAACAGGCCGAGAAGAGATTATGGTTCTCGAAGGCAGGGGGAACCCTAGGGTTTTACCTTGGGCCACATTCTGCCTCCTGAATTTGGTATCCTGTTGGTACCAGATTACATGGACTGGCCAACTGAAGGTGCCCAGAATATATCAGCCTTGGTTCCCTGAGACACTGGCAGCTCTGGTTGGTGGAAACTTTTCACCAATATAGTACCATCTCTCCAGAAAGCCCAGCTGAGAAAGAATTTGGCCCCCAAAGAGAGAACTGGAAAAAATCCCTGGCATTCCTATTCTGACTTTTCTGAAGACCAAAAGCCCCAAATCAGAGAACTTCTCAGTAGAAAGTATATAATATGGTAGGAGTTTCAGTTCCATTTTTACCAAGGTTGAAAGATGAATTGAGGCTACCCTTGTACACATGACCCTACAGGAATCACAGCTCTTCAGACCTCCTCTCTCACCCAACAGGGGCGGTGGCGAGTCCTTATTTTGCCAGCCTGGGCAGTTACAACAGTGAGTGCTTGGCTCTGGGGCTTAACAAAGAGCACCCAGGCCAGCCCTACAGACAGACATCAGCTCATCAGAAGTAGTTGGGCAGCTTTGGAAGTAGCAACAGTGCTGAGATCATCAAAACTTTTCCCAGAAGACAGAAGCTCAAACCATGTCCACAGTGGGCATCCGATTCCCTACGTGCTACAAAGACATGCTCCAAGAAGTCACAGATTTCCAAAAGCAAGAAGCAAGCCGCTGAGAGAAAAGCAAAAGAGGGGAGGCCAGGGCACCCTCCCTCGATCCCTCGAAGAAGACACAATACCAGTACCTGTGTTAGGACGACGTCTCGGCCCACCAGCACCAGAGCAAAGCCGATATGATCACCAGGCCTACAAGAGGCAAGGAGAAGATGGGGGGGTTGGGGGCAGGGGATGGCTGCAACATATCAAACGAGAAAGAAGCGCGAGAAGAGACAGGAGGTGAAAGAAAGGTGGCATAAAAAGACATAAACACATGAATTCAACAGATAACGAAGATGAGAAAACAAAGGGAAAAGAGAGAGAGAGATCAAGAGATTAAATAACTGGTCAGCGAGAGCAGCAGGGTTTCTTCTCTGCTACCCGGCCTGGTTCTTCCCACTGGCAGCCTCCAGAAGGTTCAATACGGATAGGTGTCAACCAGGTGGTGAGTCCAGCTTTCCGGCTTCATTTCCCTCTTAAACCAGTCAAGTGGGTGCTCTGCGCCCTGACCTTTCCTGTGGGTCAGTGACTGTGGAAAACTGAAGCTCCAAGGCGGAAAGCTGGGCTCTCCAGATGAGAAGGATGTATACTTTGTCACCCTAGGAAGAGCCCGTCTCTTGCCAGGCCACCTGTCCCTTTGTCAGCCCCTTGTTCTGGCTGTTTTCCACCAACTCTCTAAGTGTTCTGGGCTCTGGTCCCTCGCATCCCCTACGAGTGTAATGCTGTGGTTATGAGACAAAATGCATTAAAACAAGCCAGCAAATGGAGAAGGGCCAGTTCTTTGCCGGCAACAATCTTCCAGAGACAAACTGTGTTTGCAGGCGATAACACAGATGCCAACAGAGCTGCCGGCGAAAGAGACAGGACCCCCTGGGCCAAAGGGCCACCTCCACAGCAAGTGCTTGACTTTGAAAATATCAGGCCTGGCATTGAGAAATATGGCACCCAAGGCCAGGAAATCTCTGAGGCTCTAAACCAGCACCTGGTGGAATGCCATGAATTCAAAGAAATACGACACCCACACCGGGATAGAGGCTGCAGTTCTCCCACTGCCCATCCTCAGCAACGGGCTGCCCCGGAAACAAGGACTGTATGCTGGGTCCTCAGCCGGGCGTGCTGCAGGTCGGCCTGCCAGAAAATCCCAGAGAGCCTTCCAGTGGACGGGGCACCCCACCACAAGAGACTTATTTTCTTTCCCTGTGTTTAGAGGGACAGAAAGAACCTGGACTTATTCCGGAAGTACTCAAACTCTTCAGGGAGCCAGAGCCCCCAGTTAACCTCAACCAGGGCAGGAGTTCAGCGGGTACATACCTGTACAGATGAACTAGTTATTAACATACAGAAATACTTTTATATTTTGTGGGGAAATGACTCAGGATACTCCCACTCCAACCTCTTAAGATCCAGCAGCTAAAGGGTCAGGGAACTGTTTGGTCTCCAGAGTGAAATATTCTGTCACTTCTGATCACTCCAGGCCCCCACCCTGACACCTTATAATATACAGAGCCCAGTGGGTGACACCAGCCCTCCACCCTCTCCTAATGGCAAAGGTCAAACTTAAAGGGCACCGTGGGAAATGGGGACTGAATGACTGCCCTGCTGACAGAAGGCCTTGCACTGTCAGCATCCCTAGTGCACTAATGCACTAAGGCAGGGGGAGCACCCTCTGCATACGTAACATGCTACCACATAAATGAAGAGATAGAATTCCAGTAACCCCACCCTGGTTCCCAGCAAAGGTGGTCTTTGCAATACAGTTCCACAGCAAATTGGTTTAAGCTGCCATTTCCCACAGAGAGACCATTCTCTCCAATCCCGTCTCCATCTCCGCTTCCCCCGAGTGCCCTGCCTCCGAGCTCACTGGCCTCTACTCCTGTAGAAGTCCATCCTGGGCTGGGTCACCCTGAACACAGGGCATCTGAGCCCAAGGACCCATTTCCCACACGATCCGGCCTTTGGCGGCGGTTACCTTTCTGCTCTCAAGGGGGTTTTCCTTGGACGCTTCAGGGCAAGGGTTGTTGTCCTCATCTTGTTTGTCTTCTTCCTTACCCTCCTGGTCTTGGGACTCTTCAAATCCCTCCTCCCCATCTTCTGTGGGCTCCATTTCTATGGGAGCTGGGGGCTCAGAAACTAGTTCATCCCAGGCCTCCTCCTTTGGTTCTCCATTTTCCTCCTTCTCCTCTTTTGGTAGATTAACTGCATCTTGGTTGCTGGCCTTGTAGTACAGCACTACGTCCACGTTCTGCGGGCGGAGGTGGGGCAGGATGGGGGATGCTGTTACCTGCCAAGATCCCTACCCTCAGCGTGGAGGGCAGTCACTTCCAGCCTCTCTAGACCGTCCGTCTATCCGGCCACCAGCCATTAGACAGCTGCCAGCGCTAAAGGTTCTTGAGCTCTCACCTGGCCTGCTCTTTCTACCCCTGCATAGTGACTCCTATCTTACCCACTCCTCTTTCACTTATGTGTGTATAACTACTTTGAATAAATTCCTCTCTTTTCGTCCATTTGGTTCTTCTCTTGAGCATGTGACCCAGGAAGCACAGGGGCCCCAGGAGATTGGGCTGGGTTAACGGAGGCCGCTGTGGTCCTTTGGGGCTGGCTGTACCTCCACACGAGTGGTCTGCACGCTACTCTCGCCTTAACTTCGCAGGAAGAGGGAGCACATCAAATTGGCACCAATATGGATCTGCTCTAAATACCTTCGAGACCCCAGAAACCTCTCTACTGATACTTCACTTGGTCAGAATGGTGGGAGGTGATTTTTCTTCCCAGGATCTTATCTACCTTTCTGCTTCTGGCTACATAGGTTACTACTCACCTGCCTGCTCTCAGAACTCCCCAGGCTTGCCTTGGACACCTTTTTAATTTTAACCCCACTGGCATTCTTATTCACGTTCTTAGTGGCATTCTTTCCGTTGGTAGCAGAGGACGACCGCTTCTCTTTGAGCTGGCGAAGCTCTTCCTGGCAGCACTGCAGCTGCCCCTCCAACTGCTCCTGCTCTGCCAAAAGCCGGCCCTGCTCGTCCATGCTGGCCTGGTACTGCAGCTGCAGCTCCCGCAGCTTGGCCTGCAGCTCTTTGATCTGTGGGCAGTGGAGCCAGTTACCCACAGCCCGGCCTACGCAGTCCACCTGGGCCCTGCCGGGTCGCTGGCTCAGAACTATCCCTGCGGGAGCACGTGGGGAAGTTAGCAGCAGAACATCATGACAGAGAGTGTAGTGTGGGCTCTGGAACCAGGCTGCCTGGGTTCAAATCTCAGCCCCACTTAATGACACGGGACATGTTATTAAAACAGAAAGAAAACCTCAAACTGTGGGAAATGAGCCTCTAAAGCAGTTTTACAAAGAACTCTTCCCTCACTGGAGGCACCTGATGGTTTACATCTAACATGACCAAAAGATGATTTAAATATTTTTACTGTGACCCATCTGGAGAATAAACTATAGGGCTACCCCTCCTGAACCTCGGACTTTATTCCATTATGACTTTTGATGGGAACTCCTACTTCACCCAAACTATCTCTACTGGTACGATCACCGAAGGAACTGTGTTGGACACCTGAGAGTGCACCTGGGCACCTGCACTTCGCCATGGAAAGAGCGGCAATTCCCAATCCTGCTCCCTAACCTCCGGTCTGTCTTCCCTGACTTCTGGCAGCACAGCAGGGTCTCCTTGGTAGGCATCAACACTAGCCAACCAAGGCCCAGGGGTCTGCTCTCTGACCCTCTCCCCTGCATACCCAGCGACCCTGCTGGATTGCGGGCTGCTCTTGCTCAGAGACAACACTTTCTGTCCCATTGCCAGGGGTGCAGAGCACTCTTCTTGGCATTAGGACAGATCCAGAGGAGGCGGGGCCCTGTCCTTGAGGTGCTTACAATCTAGTTGAAGAGACAAGACAAATACATGCAAACTAACTAAAGAACATTGGCAGGTGAAAAAATACAACTGGACAGAAGTGCTCCAGGGAATAGTGCAAACAAGAGAACAGAAGTGGTAGAGGGGGAAAAAAATTCCGAGTCTTGAAGATCAGTAAATCCAGCACGGTGGGTACCTGAGAAATGTCCATCAGTGACGCAGCAGACTGCCGGCCTCCTGGGCCTCAGTGCCCTCTGTGTCCGTCTGACCGGGAAGGCGGCAACTACACAGAGCCGCAGCGAGCCTGTCCCTCTCTCCTCAGCCTCTCTGAAATGGCTCCGACCTCCTCGGCTCTAGGGACTCCTCCAAGAACCCCTGCCTCCCTGAGAGCAGTTACCTCATTCTTGTCACAGGGGGAGGCAACAGGCTTCTCAAGGCCCTCGCAGCACTCCTTGAACTCCTTTTCACAGGCATCCAGCTCTTCCTTCAGCTCCTTCTGCTGGTCCAGGAGCGTCCCCATCCGCTCCTGCAGCAGGCTGTGCTCGTCCTGGCTGAGCTCGTACATGGCCTGCACTCCCTGCAGCTTGACCAGCACCTCGGCAACCATGTCTTCAAAGCTCTGTGGAGGGCGGGGAGGAATGACGGCACCCTGGGGAGCACCTGCCCTCCACCCGCTCTGCTAGGCCCTTCCTTAATAAGATCAGAACCTTCTCTCCCTGTCTGTGTGTCAGCTGGCTACTTTTACCTCTAGATCTTCAGGCTCAGCAGGTTCATCGTCAGTGCTGCTGACATAACTCTTATTATAACAGGTGTCAGAGCTACTGCCGCTGGTCTTCTTAACGGTGATGACGCTGCTGCTGCTGCTGGTGCGGTAACTCTTCAGATAGGTCTCACTGGTACTGGTGTCGCTGGCATAGCTCTTGAGAAAGTTCTCCTCACTGCTCTGGGGGCTCCCGAGGCCCTCGCTGCAGTCAATGCTGCTACCATAACTCTTCTTGTAGGACTCAAGGCTTCTTTTTATAGAAGGGGACCGGGCTTGGAGCAACTGCATTTCTTCCAGGCAGAGCTGCAAGTCGGCCTGCAGCCTCTTCCGCTCCTCTAGGAGCCGGCCATGCTCCTGCTGCTGCAGCTCCTGCTCGGTCTGGCTGGTCTCGTACAGGTTCTGCAGAGTCTGCATGTGGGACGCGATCATCTTGGACTGCCGGGAGTGGGTGGGAGACACATCGTTACTCTAACACTGCAGTCCGAGCTGCACCCCTCCTGGCGCAGAGGTCTGAGCACACTTTAGAGAACTGCACACCTTCACTCCAGTCTCAGGACAGCCTAGGCTGCCAACTTAGCCTACGGGTACTGGCATGGGTCAGTGTCTTGCTCATGGGGAAAATGTCCCCAGGGAAGATACTCCAGTGTTTCCGGGTTCCCGATTCTGTTGTTTCTGCACTCATCCCTCTCTCCTTGGAGCAGTGCTGAGGGGGCTCGAGAACACCTGCCTTCTTCTCAGTCAGGTGTACCATCATCCTGGCCTTTGGACTCAGTACCCACCCCTTGCTCTAAAACCAGCCTGGCCTGGAATATGAGCATTCCTCAGAAGAGGGGATCAAGGTCTCACTGAGTCCCTGCCCCTCCTGCCCCAATTCTCAATCTGGACTCAGAGAATGTTCCCTGGCCCTCTGGGCCTGGCTTCTTGGCTACTGATGCCCAGGACGAGATCTGATTGAGGAAACATTTCATACCTGGTTCTTGGTCTCTGTGTTATCTATGCGGAAATCTGATGGCCCTGGAATCTGACCAAATCTCAGTTTGGACTCCTGCTATCCCCTGATCTCCCTGTCCAGGCTAATATCTGAATTAATTCATTTTGCCCAAAGTGGAACAGTCTATCTGCTCTTCCTTGCTCTCACTGAGCCCTCAGGCCAAATTCACCCCCCAAACCTTCTGAAAGGCTTAAATGGAAATCTCCACCAGTGAGCCCGCAGAGACAACTTGCTGGTGTCTGACACCCCCCGCCCCCCCCCGCCCCAACCTGGCTGCTGTTCTGGCCAATGTTGCGATGAAAACATATGGTCAGTAGCAAGAACTCTCCATGCGAGGACGCTTCCTTTGGAAAGGAATGGCCCCATACTGGCCTCGTGTAGAACACCAAAAGGTTATAGATTTTACCACTGAAAAGTGTACTTCTCAATTATCAACCATCTCATGAGAAAAGGAGGACACCTTTAGTCAGTCCCAAGCAATCCAAACACTGAAATGATATTATACATCTGGAAAACGAGACGCTAAAGGGATTGAGACAAATTATCAGGCAATTACAGACTTCCGGGTCATCCCGGTTCTAAGTGCTCCCAGGACGGCGGCTGGGCATGCACGTGGTGGGTCCTCGGGCCGTATCTGAAGGCTCATCCCCAGGAGCCAGCCCATGGGCAGTCATGGCTGGGGCAGGTCAGGGCTTCAGTCTCATCCTGACTCCTGGCCTCACAGGCCTTCCTAACACTGTCCCTTCTGTGCAGCCCCTTCCTCTCCTGTCCCCAGAACCGTCCCCCTGCCTCTAGCTATGGTTACCTTGTCTTGGACATATTTTGAGCACTTATGTGATTTGGAACCTTCTGGATTCTCCAACACTTCCTGGAAATGGGAGTCTTTGAAAACATGCAGCTCTTTGTGCAGCTCTAATTGTTCGTTTAGCACATTTTCTTGATTGTGTATCAGCTGTTTCTGCTCTTCCTGCATGCTTTGGTAGAGGAGCTGTAGTTCATACAGGTCTTGTAACTTTGTAAGTAGCTCGAAACTCTGCGAGGTAGAGTGGAAGGAAGGGCAGGGACTGTGGTGGTCACAAGCAAAGCCCTCTGCTGGAGACCCTCCCTCCCCTTAGGCATCCCTGATTGGCTCTGCAGTTTCCCCATCTGGGACGGGGGAGTCCTGTGGAGATCCGCCAGTTGAGTAGAACTGACCTCTTGTGTTTGGATGTATTGTTTAGTTTACAAAGTACTTTCAAGTATATTTTCTCCAGACAGATAAAATACCTACATATAAAATGCAGGACAGTTCCCAGAGTGTAAGATGTATTTTAAATATAAAACCCAAGCCCTGGCCGGTGGTGGCTCAGCTGGTTGGAACATCATCCCTTACACTGGAAAGGCAGGTTTGATTCTCGGTCAGGGCACCCGGCTTGTGGGTTCAATCCTCAGTTTGGGCGCATCTAGGAGGCAGCCAATCGGTGTTTCTCTCTCTCTCTCTCTCTCTCTCTCTCTCTCTCTTCAATCAATAAAAAAACAACATATCCTCAGGTGAGGAGAAAAAAAAAAGTAAAACCCTAATCAGCTATATTGAATTTTTTGGTTTGAAATTGGTGAGAAAGTAAGGAGTGGTTGGTTAAGGAAAGAAAAATCTTAATCCCCACCTTTCCTTTTTCTCAAGTACAGTCACACCTGGGAAGCTTCTCAAAGCCACTGCTCCAGAGTGAGCAGCCACTCGCTGGCTGCCTTTACCTTCTGGAGGAGACCAGACTTGGGTATCGGGAACGTGAGCCTGTGCAGCTCTTCTTGCAGCTGGCCCTGCTCCTCCTGCAACCTCCTCTGGTCCTCCAGGAGTTCGCACTGCTCCATCTGCAGCTGCCCCATCTCCTTCTGGCTGGCCTTGTACTTTTCCTGCAATTCTGTCAGTCTGGACAGCAGTGTGTCACACTGTGGGCGGGTGGGGCGGGCGGTTACTCCTAAGGTAGTTCTCTGCCTGTGTGGCTAGCAGAGCATTTCTGTGTCCCCCTGCCTCTTCCGATTCACCGGGGTTGCCCACCCTGTACCGATCATCCCAAGCCACACTGCGCCAAATTTTAGATGCCGAGTGGGGAACGCCAGCAGGCTGCTTGGGCTGGCTGTTTGGCTGTGCCTGAAATTTTTCTATTAGTCCCTTCTGAGAGCATTCTGAGCGGGAGTGTTATCAGCACCCCTCCCTTTTCATTCCCCGCCGCCTCCCTCTCCTCTGGCCCTTTCCTCTGGTAGACGCTGTTTTCTCACCCTGCTGGGGATTCTACCCCCTATCGCTCTCATTATCCTCAATTTGCTTTTATTCCTAAGTATGCTCCTTACCAATAAAGACTTCATTTCTCCCTAATCCCCCACCCCCCATTTTTGTTTTCATAATCATCTTTTAAAATCTTTAGAAAAGTATGTGCTATTGCTGAATTTGGGTTAAGAAAACGAAATCATCCTATGATTCCAAAAACCTAAATCTTCTAATATCGGACTAATCGCAATGCTGTTTTATAATTAGAGGAAAAGCTGGCCCCGTGTGCCAGCATACGGTTCCTTTCCTTAGGGAGGAGGCACAGATGCCCTCACTCCTAAGTCTAGTGGGAATGGGGGGAGGGGGAATGTGAGCCTGGGAGCAGAAAGGCAGGTGGACTGTGGTGGTGACACAAATAACCTCCCCCATTCTGTGTCTCCCGAAGGCCTTTCCCTGGGGACACAGCCTGCTGTTGGCCGTGGCAGGAGCTAATGAGCATTTTGGCTGAATGTGACTTGTTCCACTACTTTTAGAGAATCCTGGGCCTGTTCTCTATCATGCTTCAACACCCTTCCATTTCCTAGCAGTGATCCTGAAAGCGCTCAACACAGGGTAACTGATAGTGACTTGCATTTTACACACTATGATAAAAAGAGAGAATGAGTAAGGAAGGCTTTATTTATCACTACAGGATCTGTTACTGAAAGGAAGTGGGTAAGAGTAGTATTCTGTTCAATTTAAAGAGAGTAAGAGTCAAGTTCAGAGGACTTAACTACTCTGAAGCCTCGGCCCTTCTAAAGCCAATCAGTGTTCTGGGCACAAGACCAGGCCATCTGACAAGAGCATTTGCAATCTGCCTCAGAAAATTAGATCTTCTCTTTCTAGTTCTAACAATAAAAGTGACATATACAGGCCTATGTGTATGTTCTCCACAAATAACAAGATACCACTACACATGGAATTACGTGCAAGCATTCCAGTGTTCAGACTGGATCCAGATACACGGATCCTACTAAGGTGTGGCTCAGGTCAAGGAAAACTGTTTTAAAAGTTAACAGCATGGGGCTCTGCCTCTATTCCCGGCCTCGCTGTACTCAGTCGTGATGGGACTCAGCTGTACTTAGTCTCCTAATTATGGGCAAGAGCCCATCCTGCCCTTGGGTGGATGGATGACTTCCTCTTTTGCCCTAACCTCCTTTCTCCAGAGGAAGTGCCCAGCAGATCCCACCTGTCTTCACCACAATTACCTTATTAGCACATTCTCTCTTGTCCTCTGGGATGGACTGGGTGGTCCTGAGCTGTACCAGCTCATGCTGGCAGAGCAGGAAGTCCTGCTCCAGCCGATCGTACATGTGCTTCCGCCGCTCCAGCTCCTCCTGGCTGTTCTCGTACCGCTGCTTCATCTCCTGCAGCTGGGACTGCATCTCTGCGTTCTGAGGCAGGGAGGCAGCCCGCCATCACCCGGAGCAGCGGCTGCACTCTCTCCTCTCAGGCAGTGACAAAGGGAGTACTACCTGTCCTTTCCAGTCCCAATTCCATCCCACTGAGGCTCCTGAGATGGACAAGGCCCTAACAGGCTCTATGCAGAGACCTCTGGGCTTCCATTTGGGGCGTGGTGAAAGTAAAGGGGTTCATTTTTACAGGCTGGTTTCCTGATTCAAAATCAAAGGAAGCTGAGAGCACCTTCCTACTGAGCAACACTTGACCGCCCTCACCAACGGCTCCTCCACAGACCTCCTGCCATCCCCGCTCCTCCTCTGCACCCGTCCTCGCACGGCAGCTCGGCCTGGCCACCTTCTCCCTCACCTGGAGCTGCTTTTACCTTCTCATTGCTCTCTTGGAAATAGCCCTCGATGTCTCTGAGGCGCTGCACCTCGGCCTCCTGGTACCGCAGGTCCTCCCGCAGCTGCCGCTGCACGTCCAGCAGGTGATCCTTCTCACACGAGAGGTTCTCGTACTGGAGCTGCAGCCTATGCAGCCGGCACCGTAACTCCTACGGCGGAGGGGCCTTTGGGCAGTACCCCCGGGACCCTCAACCCACTCACTCTTCTGCCTGAGTCATTCTCAGACTCCTCCCTACCCTCCACTCACTGGCTGTCCTCTCATCTAACACAGTGCTGGGGGCGGCTGAGTTCACCTGCGGTGCTCACAGGTGGTGGCTGGAGTTATTTTAACTCTCCACTCGTATCCACCTTCCCAAATCCTCCTAGCACCTAAGTTGCCCCTCACCTCTGGTTGCTGTTACCTTCTCACTTGGGCTTTCTGTGCATATGGGTTTCGTGACTTTGAGCTGCCGGAGCTCAGCCTGAAGTTGGAGTTGCTCCTTCAAGAGCTCAGTCTGCTCATCCTGGCTAACATCGTACTTGTGCTGCAGGGCACAGAGTCTGTTCTTCAGCTCCTCGTTCTGTGGTGGGAAGGATGCGGGTGGAACCGTTACTCTCAAGAAACAGCAGGCCCCTCTCCAGACCAGCCTGGCGCTTTTCCGGGTGCAGACATCTTGAGGAGCTCCTGCAGGCCTCTGGTCTGGTTTCTTCTCTGAGGCAGACACTCAGTGATGACTACCATTTCTAGGATGCAAGGCTAGGTGACCTCTCCAATTGGTCTTGGATAGACTCTACCCCTGGTGGCAGGGCAAGAGTCAGCAGAGCACAGCCTTGCTCTGCGTTCATCCTCCTGAAAGGAAGCGGCGACTCCATGGAGGCCCTTCTGCCCTCCCCAAACTCCCTTCCTGGCAGTGTTTACCTGGGCGGCGTGTTGGGAAGTCTGACACCGAAGCACCTCGTTCTGTGCGCACTTGAGCTCCCTCTGCAGCCGCCTCTGCTCCTCCTCACTGGTCTGGCGATGAAGATGTAGCTCTTGCAACTCACAGCTCAATTCCTTACACTGTGGGAAGCAACACAGGAAGGCGGCTTACTACAAGTCACTCCAGGGCAGGCCTGGAAGACTATTTACATCAGGCAAGCGAGACCCCAGAGTACTATCTCCTGCCATAGCGCACGCCGCCTTCGTCAACTCTGTCCTGTGTCTAAGGAGATGTTTCTCACACAGGCCCGGAGAAGGTACAAGAGGGACAACGGAAAGGGCCTGCATCCCCCTACCTTGCTCTGCATGTCACATAGCTGTTCCTCAGCTCCCAGCAGCTGCTGTCGCAACGAATGGGTTTCCGGATGAGGTTCTAGGAAATCCATTTCTACAGTCTGACACTCTGTTGACATCAAACTCCTTAGCGTTTGGGACTCCAGCCACTTTTCTGTTGCTCTTCGTGTCCTGCAATCCAGAACCCCAGAGACATGTTTGGGAGAGAACTCTGCCTAGAATCACCTGCCAACGGTGCTTGGTCCTGATGTCTTTGTTTTAGGCAAAAAATGGTAAGGAGCCTCTTATTGTGATTTCTCTCTCTCAAAAAAAAAACACACACTTAGAAGGGCACAACACCCCCAGCACCTCAACCTTCAAAGCTGTTTGTCTCTGGGAGGCCCTAAGCGTCCAGTCCAGTTGAGCTTGAGCCTGGCTCTGATGTCAAAGTCAGCTCCAAGAGAGAGGACATCAGACTGAATCAAGTCCGTGTGGACAACAAAGGGATCACTTCTGAGCAACTGTAGGGCCCGGCCAACCAGCCCCTAATGCCTCGAATAGAAGAAAACTAAACTTCTGAAGTCAATCAACTCTAGTCCCAGACACTGAGCTGGGTCCCCATGCCTCTTCTAGGCAGTGTCCATGTCCTTTGGACACCACGGGAAAGACCAGATCTCCCGGAGGAGAGGGACGTGCGAGAGCCTGGCATCTGCCTCCAGCAGCAGTTCTACGCGGGGAGAAGCCCAGTCCTCCACGGTCCCACTCGCCTCCCGGCTGTACCTCTCACTCTCCAGATCTGCCAGCTGCCCTGAGAGGCTGCTGTTGCTCTCCTGCAGGACCCGGTACTCCTCATTCAGGAAGCGGTAGCGTTCCCGCAGTTGCTGCAATTCCTCTGCAGAGGACAAGATGAGAGAGAGGTGAGGTCCTAGGGAGGAAGCACTGATGACCAGCCCCCCGTTTTCCTGCCTGGAAACCTGGTAGCAGAAGGCTGATCGGCTCCTCTTTTTCTAGAGACAGAAGAGATATCACATGCAGAGGCTTCGAAGACAGGGCCCAGAGAAGTCCACCCTGCAGAGGCCCTCTGTGCTCTTTCAAGAGCTGCCCTTCTTCTCATCTTCCCAGATTTGTCCTGTGTGCCCCTTCAAAACCCCAATCAAGACTCCTAAAATCTTGGGATTTTTTTTTTTAATTTTTAAAAAATCCTCACCCAAGGATATTTTTCCACTGATTTTTAGAGAGAGTGCAAGAGAGAGAGAAAGACAGAGAAATATCTATGTGAGAGCAACACATCGATTGGTTGCCTCCTGCACGAGCCCTGACCAGGGCCCAGGCCGAGGAGGAGCCTGCAACCGAGATAGAGATACGTGCCATTGACCGGAATCGAACCAGGGACCCTTTCATCCTCAGGCTGACACTCTACCCACTAAGCCAAAATGGCTAGGCTGTGATGGTTTAATTGTTTGGGGTTTTTTTGTATTTAAAGTTTTCATTGAGCCGAAACCGGTTTGGCTCAGTGGATAGAGCGTCGGCTTGTGGACTGAAAGGTTCCAGGTTCGATTCCGGTCAAGGGCATGTACCTGGGTTGCAGGCACATCCCCAGTAGGAGATGTGCAGGAGGCAGCTGATCGATGTTTCTCTCTCATCGATGTTTCTAACTTTCTCTCTCTCTCCCTTCCTCTCTGTAAGAACTCAATAAAATATATTTTTAAAAAAATAAATAAAAATAAAGTTTTCATTGAGACCAGTTGACATGGTTCAGTGGTTGAGCATTAACCTATGAACCAGGAGGTCACGGTTCGATTCCCGATCAGGACACATGCCTGGGTTGAAGGCTCGATCCCCAGTAGAGGACATGCAGGAGGCAGCTGATCAATAATTCTCTCTCATCATCGATGTTTCTATCTCTCTTTCCCCCTCCCTTCCTCTCTGAAATCAATAAAAATATTTTTAAAAATTAAGTTTCCATTGAACTGTTTGATTACCTCACTTTTAGTACAAAACACTGGGAGATGTGAACTACCAGGTGTCACACTGCCGGTCTTGGCCTTTCAGAGACAATCCAGGCATCCTGAAGGTCCTTTAACTTCCTTTATCACCACACCAAATACACTGGCCTGCATGTGGTCAAGAATTCTTTCTAATGATCTTTTATCTGCTATCAGAAGGACACATCCCAACCAGACCCACATATCACCCTCAATGCTGCTATGATACATACCCATATCTGTTTTGTTTCTTCATGATTAAGAATTATTTCTTGCCCTAGCCAATATGGCTCAGTGGATAGAGCGTCAGCCTGCAAATCGAAGGGTCCCAGGCTCGATTCTGGTCAAGGGCCTGTACCTTGGTTGCAGGCTCCTCCCCGGCCTGGGCCCTGGCCAGAGCCCATGCAGGAGGCAACCAATTGATGTTTCTCTCACGTCGACATTTCTCTCTTTCCCTCTCTCTTCCACTCTCTCTAAAAATCAATGGAAAAATATCCTCAGGTGAGAATTAAAAAAAAAATTATTTCTCTTAGAATATTAATTCTACTGATATTTAAAAAGTGTCTTAACTACCGTCAGCTTCAACACCCTGAAATTTACTTCTAATGTGTATTCCAATCAGAAGTCCTGATCTATGTAGCAAAGTCCTTGAAATACTGCAAATTACCACAGAAGGAAGGAAGGAAACTAATCTTTTATGAAAACCAACCATGTGTTAAACAATAGACTTGATGGTTTCAGCCTTGGTTTTAGTTAGTGTGTGAGTGCTTTCAACATGTTAGGCATTTCATTTAATCCCCAGAAAAGCCCTGTAAATTTTCTTTTCTAAATAAACCTTAAATTTTAGAATAGTTTTAGACTTATAGAAAAGTTGCAAAGAATGCAGAATTCCCTGGAAGAGTTCTCATCTAGTTTTCCCTACTGTTAATATCAGACAATGGGTCCATTTGTCATGACTAAGAAATCAAGGTTGGTATATGAACTAAACTCTATACTTTATTCATATTTATCTACATTTTCCCTCAAGTCCTTTTCCTGTTTCAGGATCTCATCTAGCTGATGACTGAATAGCTCCTCTTTTTATTAACCACTTTTTATATAAATGGAAACAGAGGTTCAGAGAGATCATTCTGAGACTAAGTTCACTCTGTTACTCAGTGGAGCTGAGATGCTGAACTGAAGTCTGTGTAAGTCCAGCCCGGGCCTTCCCACTGGGCTGTCTGCCTCTCCTAGCATCACCAATCCAAAGGCTCTTCTGAGGGGCTTGTTACAGCTGGGAAACCTTGCACTTCTTTGATTCCTTGTTGATTTGCCTCTGCTTGACCTGGCCTAATATAAGGCCTCCCTTATACCCAGATCATCAATCCTAGCCTCAGAATAAAGGCAAACTCTCTGATGTCATGCCTCCTAGCAACTAGCTTGGAGACTCACTGTCTGAACGCTTTTGAGCTCTGAGCTTCTGAGTACATCGTGTTTTATTAGAAATAACCTCCCTTCGTCTCCAGCTTGTGCTCTGACTTTTTGCCCCCAAAGCTTCTACTCTGGGGAGGGCTAAAGGAGCCTAACAATTAGCATCTCAGGGTCTGGGAGCAGGACTGGAGGACCCCCTCTCCCTGCCCCCCACCCCCCAGGAAGCAGTCCAGGCACAGTGCCATGATGCCGGAGCAGCAGGAAGCGTTTCCCAGGGTGGCGGCCCCGTACTCCCACCTAGAACTGTCCTCCCCAGGAAGGGCTTCAGCCGAGTCAAATCGACAAACACCAGATGGCTCTCTGAGAAAGAGTTCTCCGGGCACATCTCCATGGTACTATTTCTCACACCCTGATGGACTGGCTGTGGGACTCTGGGTAAGTTTTTCTCCCTTTATAGTCTTGAATTCAACCTGGAGGTTTTTTCTAGAGTTTCCCAATTCATTATCTAAGACCACCTTCCAACATCTTCTTGCACACTATCTCCCTCCGCTTGACTTTACTGACAGACCAGGAGAAGGGCTTGCACTCTCATACCTTGCAGCTCAGAGTAATCTGAGGGAGTATAACTATTAGATGAGTCAGAGGTCTTCATTTCCATTTCTGCACGGAGGGAGGTGATCTCCAGCTCATACTCGTTCCGAACACGCTCCAATTCATCAAGTTCACTTTGCATCCGGCAGAGGTCCTCCTGCAGGGATGCTATGTCACTCTCATGTTCAGTCGCAGAATCATCTGCGGCTTGTCGCAGATTCTTGATCTCCGCATGGGCCAAATGCAACTCCCGTTCTATCTCCTTAAGTTCACATTCTTTCTCACGCTCTAACAGGGAAATCTCCTCCCGTAGATTCCGCAACTCACCTGCAAAAAAACCCAAAGGTTAGGACGGTCAAGAGGATAAGTGAATTAATCTACCACGTTCTAGAGGCACAAAGGTAAAGGGAGGCACTTTCTTATCTAGAAACCCCTGACAACCTAGACCAGGGGTGGGCAAACTTTTTGACTCGAGGGCCACAATGGGTTCTTAAACTGGACCGGAGGGCCGGAACAAAAGCATGGATGGAGTGTTTGTGTGAACTAATATAAATTCAAAGTAAACATCATTACATAAAAGGGTACGGTCTTTTTTTTTTTAGTTTTATTCATTTCAAACGGGCCGGATCCGGCCCGCGGGCCGTAGTTTGCCCACGGCTGACCTAGACTCTACCCTATCAGAGAAGTATAGTTTCATCTGGTATGAAATAGAGAGAATACCTAAGAAGGGAGCAGAGAGTGAATCTACGTAGTAAGGTAGTAGAAAAGTAGATTTTTGAGGCTTGGCACCAAAAGCAACAACTTAGGCTATTGAAAACAAAAGGTATTATCAGTGCCCTGGCCAGTGTTCTCAGTGGTTAGAGCATCGGCCTGTGCACCAGAGCGCCGAGGGTTCGATTCCCAGTCAAGGGTAGGTATGATCCCTGCACCCGGTCATCGGGGGCGAGTGTGGGAGGAAACTAATTGATGTGTCTCTCTCATATCAATGTTTCTCTCTCTCCTCCTCCTCCTCCTCCCCTCTCCCTTCCAGTCTCTCTAAAAATCAATGGGGAAAAAAAATCCTCACTCCTCGGGTAAGGATGAAAACAAAAAGAAAGTATTATTAGTGTTTCTAAGGAATCGCCTAAGAATTAAAGGCCAAACATAACTTACAATATTTTTCTTATGTCCTGAGTCTTTTCAAAAATTCCCTGGCTAGTCCGGCCAGTATGGCACAGTGGTTGAGCACTGACCTATGAACCAGGAGGTCACAGTTCCATTACCAGTCAGGGCACACGCCTGGGTTGCGGGCTCAATTCCCCAGTGGGGAGATGGGCTCAGTAAATGCACACAGGCATTTATTTCCACTGTGCGGATGTTTCTATCTCTCCCTCCCTCTTTTCCCTTCATCTCTGAAATATATATATATGTTAAAAATTCCCTGGCTAAAAAAATCTACACAGACTATTCTCATGTATTCAGTCTGGGAGCTTAGAAATTAGAACTTCAGAATCCCCATGAACTGCCTGTGGTAAGTACTGGCCCTAAAATAATATCTATTTAGAGTTCATAGCTGAAATTCAAATATAGGTTCATCACATGGTAACCAAACATGGGAAAATAACCTACATGTGGATTGATAAGAGATTGTTTAAATTAGTGATGGTTAAACAGAATATCAGCAGCCATTAAAAAGAAAATGGCAGATTTATTGAAAAGGTTTCCATACATACTAACTAGAAAGAAAAATCAACTATAAAATATATTGTACTATCTTATTTTTGCAAAAAAAGAATTGTATGGCCCTAACCGGTTTGGCTCAGTGGATAGGGTGTCGGCCTGTGGACTGAAGGGTCCCAGGTTCGATTCCGGTCAAGGGCATGTACCTTGGTTGTGGGCACATCCCCAGTAGGGGGTGTGCAGGAGGCAGCTGATCGATGTTTCTCCCTCATCGATCTTTCTAATTCTCTATCTCTCTCCCTTCCTCTCTGTAAAAAATCAATAAAATATATTTTTAAAAAACAATTGTATGTACAATATATAACACAAGTATACAAAGACATAGAAAGAGGTCTGGAAAGATCTGTGTGCCAGCCATAAAGAGCAGTTCCTTCTGAAGTACGAGATAGCATATGATGGGGACTTTTACTTTCTACATTGGTGCTGTTTGAATTTTCACAACAGGCCTCTATTTTAAAATAGCTTTTAATTTACAAAAGAAATGTGTCAGAGCTCTCAGTATCTGTGGCACATCTCGGGGTTGTTGGACATGGATAATCTGGGATTAGGAGAACCTAAACTTGGAGAGAGAGAGAGTAAAAGGCACTGATACCAATAAAAAAAATTCAAAATTTGGGAGCCAGGATTATGGAATTAATGAGGATTGGGTTGGGAGGGTCAGGACCTTCCCACAAACACTGCAAGTTACACTGTCCTTATCCCTTGCCCTGTCCTCTGCTCATTCTATTCACCATTCAGATTTCAACTTTCCCTAGCCTCTCTCCCCCACCTCCTCAAAAAAACCAAGCAAGTCCTCTATTAGATGCTCTCAAAGCACCGTGTAGTTTTGCAGTGTGTGTGTGTGTGTGTGTGTGTGTGTAAAACCTTGCTCTCCTACTTCCTTGACTATAAGCTTCATGAAGGCAGGGAACACGTCTGTTTTGCTCATCATTAGAGCTCCAGGATTTGTCATAGTACCTGGCGTAATGCAGCTTGATAAGTATTTGCTGTATTCGTGCATAAATGAGGCAGAGGGTCATCTATTGGACAAACGTTTACTGAGTACTACGAGAAGAAAAAATGGGAGACATACTGCAGATATAAATGCTGAATGGACAGGGGGTCTCAGGGGCCGGAGGAACAGTCTCCGGCCCTATTCCCACTCTCCCAAGCTCACACGTGCAGCTCTAGGCACATCTTTTGCCAGTCGTTCCTTCCCTAGAATGACCCCAGCGGCCTCCTCTTCTTGGTCTATTCAAGTATTAATTGGTCATCACCTCTGTGCCACACCCAAGCTTCTCTCCACTGAGATCCTCTGACTTCCTTCCAGTTTGAAAGAACAAATTCCTTGCTCTATCCACTGTTGAACAGCACAGGGGCGGGTCTTGTAGGCCTGAGGGAGGAGCCTACCCAGAAGCTTAGAATCTAGTGGGGGAGACATACATGTCAACTGGCCATTAGGATAAAGGCCCTGCGGCCTGGGATGGACTTCTGCGGAGGCGACCAACCTCCACTTCCCTACTGTGCCCTTGATGCTCGGGTCCAAATCTCCCTTAGGTTCTCTTCTGGAGTCTAGCCCTGCAAACACGACATGCTCAAGTCCAGGAGGAACCGAGGAAGGACTCCCCACACCTGAAAAACCTCTTCATCAGGGGCAGGACCCGCTAAGGTCCGAGGGGCGGGGCTTGCCGGCCTGAGGGAGGGGCTTATCCAGAAGCTGGGCGGGGCGGGTCCGGCTGGGGCGGGTGGCCGGAGCAGCAGAAAGGCCACAGCGGTTGGAAGA